AAATGAAAAAGAGTGGTCAAATTTCAACGAATCCAAACAAAACCATTTTCAAAGCAGAGCCACACGAAAAAATACATTATTAAATAAATAAAAGAGAGAGCAGGCGTGAACCCTGGGATGTGTCGTCTAGCGATTGGAAGAGGAGGATGAAGAGGATTGGGGAAGGGCAGAATTGGAATGAAGAAATAGACGAATCTGGTCCAAGAAAGTTATGTGGTGAGGCCTGTCCTTGCGCTTCACGTACCCTCTCGCCACTTTCTCCGTGTAGCAGTTGTAACCCTCCTCGTCGCTCCTCCTCCACAGCGCCTCCGCGTAGCTCCGGTGACCGAAGTACGCCTCCACCGAATTGCCGCCGCCGCCGCTGCCGGATTCCATCTCGACCTCAATCGGCAGCCGCTCGTAGTGCCCCCGGCTGACCCCTTCCAGCTCGTCCATCCTGGCGAGCGCGGCGGCGGAAACGGCGTAGAGCTCGCCGGAGACGCGTTGGCCGCGGCCGGGCATGTTGAGGAGGAAGGGGACGCGGTAGGGCCCGCAGACGAGGGGGAGTCGGTGGAGGGTTTGGCACGCGCCGACGAAGGAGACGTCTCCGGCGGCCATCATGTCCTGGAGGAGTGGGTGGTTGGAGAACCCCTGCTTCAGAGTGCCGTAGGTGAAAATGAGGGCGGCGGGAATCCCCATGCTTCGTCCTCCCTGATCTGATTTGCCAATTATTATACCAACAATTAGAATAATAATTCTTAAACAAAAATGTGAAAAACGTAAGAGTTTGTTGTAATTGTGTTGGGGATTGGATATGGATGAGAAATTTGTGAATCTCTCTAGGCTTTAGAATATGTGGTGAATTTGGGGTAGGTATTGGGAATCTTTTCTCGGACTGCTTTAGTTCCGTGAGAGAAAAATATTGCTTGGGAAACAAATGTACATTTATTTCTAGTAATTCATACTAGATCTGGAGCGTTTATTAACATGAACGAAAAAAAGGTTTAGCTCGAGCTAGCTCATAAAAGCTTAGCTGACTTTGATTATCGATTTAATGTATCAAAAATCTTGACCGAGTTGTTTCTTCCAAATCATGTGCATTTGCACAGATATAAGAATAAATATGTACCATTAGAAATAAAAAATAAGAATAAATCTGTACCATTAGATACGACATATCAATGGTCATGATGAAGTCAATTTTAGTAAATAATGGTTAAATAGATAATGACAATACAGTAAATAAGTGTATATATAATGGTCAAATGTACAAATTTGACCACTTACTAAGGATATTATGGTCATTGAACAATCATCCACTATCCATGTGGCCCCTGCCAATCCCTACAACGTCATTCTCTCCTCTCTTTCTCACACAATCACACACTCAGTTTTATTCTTCACCAACACACACGCACAGAATACACACACACGCACGTACATAATACACACACACAGACTCAGATCCGCCTTCCTTCAACCGCGTCGTCGCCGACAACCGCCTTCCTTCAACCGCTTTGTCGCCACCTTATGCCGGTTGGTGTCGACGGCACCTGAGCACGAGTTGCAGGTGACGACGACCAAAATCGGCCATGGTCACGCGCGTCTTGCAGGCGGCGATGGCCAAAATCGGCCAATAAACCGGCGGTAATCTCCAGTTCCGACGCCAATGACTGTGGTTTTGACGGCCAAATCGTGTCCTCCTCGACGATCTGGAGCGCGCGGACACCGGATCTCTCCATCATCCTTTCCATACCGCCGCCTCCTTGGTGGCAGTCGGCCACCAGATTTTAGGGTTTGGGGCTGAAATCGGGTTTATCAGAATCAGAAGATAGGATATGGGTTTGGACTTGATTTTGAAATTTGACACTCCTTATGGACTTAATAGCAATTTCAGGATTTTTTAATATGTTCAATTTAATTTATGGGTTAATTATGTAATTTATTAAAAATCTAATAATTGTAAATGAATGGTCAAAGCACTACACATTACTGCTCGGTATATTGCACATCGACGATGAATAAAATGAACATTAGTTTGTGTGTATATGCATGTAAAAAATTAATATTTTTACAAACTTTTTCAATGCGCTGCATAATGCAAGATATTGTTTATTGGTTAGTTCAGTTGAACTGACCGTCTGGAACGTTGAAATTGAAATAATCGAGTCGAATATTTGAAAAAAAACTAAACCGATCAAATTGTTGTCCCAAACCAAATTAAAATTGCACCGATGTACTTTGTTCTTTTCGTCGCTTAACAAATTTAACGAAAATAATCGAAGTAAATTATAATTTATATTTATAAAAAAAACATTTTGTACTGTAATTTGTTTGTTGAATAGTTTTTATTTATATTTTGCTCAAATGACTATTATATAAATTGTGATTTATATTTATAAAAAAATATTTTGTATAATAAAACAATTATGCATAATTATTATATTTATATAATAACAATAAAAAAGTTGAAACCAAACAAAAAATAACCAAAATATTAAAGTTAAAATCAAAAACCGAATCGAAATATGAAATTTCAGACAGATCATTTATTTTAGATTGACTTCGATCACTATTGTGCAATATGTCAGTCATTAATGTGCAAGTTGTATAACACTCTTGTGCATGGTGTATTCGATTGGTTAACCGGATTATCATAAATACTCAAAATATTTTATTATTCACAATATAAAATGAAATTATTATTTTAGTATTCTTTTCTTAACATTTAATATTATTTTTGAATATATATATATATATATATATATATAAATACATAAATAAAAAAAATCGATTATATTTTTCATATAGTTCGGCATGTTTGGTTATTTTGTTTATTTAAAAAAAACTAAATCCGACATTCAACCAACCAATATTATTCGATTTTACTATAATTTTGATACGTGCAGTGTGTTGTGTCATAAAGTGCAACGTATTGTTGTATAATGTGCAACTTATGATATATAATGTGCAATAATGAAATTTTGGTACGTTGGCATGAAAAATATATTTAGTATTATAATATTTTATATTACTTTTTGTTGAAAATATATAATATATGTATAAAATATATGTAATATTTTTTTATAACTTAAATATTACCATAGACTAAACTAAAATATAATAAGTTTTTTTTTCTTTTTTTTTTTTTTTC